GAGGAGACTGACTCAGATGCTGTTGCTGTCATAACTAAGTTCATCAAGAGTTTATTAGAGGTGACATTTCATCTCTCAAATGTGCCAGGTTCACTGAGCTGGTTTTAAACTTGGCAGCAAATTTCAGTTTCAAAAGTAAAGAATGTTGTAACGTGTTGTGATGATTTTAGGAAAAAACTGATTACAATTCTTAAAAGACATATAGTGAATATACATTTTGAATATTTCAGTCCCATATCTGTCAAAGTTTATATTTAAATCACAGCACAGTAGCTGTTAAATCAGGACTGGGCATTACTGATTCAATTGCTATAGATTAAAATTCAGTATTTGGACTTTTCGAACAAGAAGTTAAGTGCTTTTAGAATCACCAAAAAAACTGCCTACAGTAAAAAAGGGTGGTAAAGTATAAGATGGAGGAAATCTAGCAAGACTTTTCACTCTATATAACATTATATATACGCTCATCACTGAAGATATATAATGCTTACACTGAGTGAAATATGCATGCTGTGACTTCAGGTAGAAGTACTGTAGATGTTATGTCATATATTCAAACACAATTTAAATTATAATTATGTAGGTTTGTGCAATGACTGGCTGCACAACATGACTTTGTAATGATGGACTCACTAGTAGGTCTGGCAGAGTTTAAAAGGTTAAAATGATCACAGTTCTAAAGGCCAGTCGTAACATTTAGACTAAACCCAGAAGGCAGAAACATAGCTGAACCCCAGCATTAATGACCTCCAGAAGGATTTTTATCTCTGACAAAGCTTCGCTCCTGTTGGCTGGGTGCCCGCCCTGTCCGGCTAATAACAGCAGCAGTAAAATCAGTGGAACTAGTTGTCATAGTTATAGACATGCATACAGTAGTTGTTATGAATGGCTGAGTAGTTGGAGTAGCAGCACAATCATGAAATCAGGCTTTACTGACAATGACATAAGTGGGAGAAAAGAAAATGATTTAATACTATATGTTAGAGAGGGATCTAAACACCACACATACTGTAAGCAGCATGCTTTTTATTATCCATCTTTGGTTTTACTTCCTCTTCGTTTCCAAACTGCTCATAAAACTGGCTTCCACTCTAAAAGAAACTCCACAGATGAATGACAGCTCTAAACGCAGATGGTTCATTCTGTCATATCTGATGTAGTTTGAGATCACATTCAATATGAGGTGCAGACACGTTCTACTGTGGCCTTGTAAAAGAATTTTGTTTTAGGAGCCAATTTAGATAAACTATTATGACAACACTAGGACGACCACTTCGCTTCATCATACACATTTACAAAATGAGCACATTGGAGCTATGTATCTTCCTTAAAGACACATAAAACAAGACAGACTGAGCTAACAAAGTAAAAAAGTGTTTTACAATCACAAAATAAAACAGCGCACGATGGGGGGAAAATAAAAACATGAAAATCCATTCATCTTAAAGATGGGGCCAACCTGGGGCCTGGGTGAACCAATGAACCCATATGGGATTAAGGGGTAACATACATTTTTAAATGTATCAGGGACCTTGAACCCTGAGCTGGAAAATAAATTTTACCTGAAGAAACCAGTGGGGGAAAAAAAAAAAAAAACATGTTCTCTGGTATTAGTCAAAAGCAGACCTGGGCATTTTACGGCCCCCGGGCCGCATACAGCCCTTTAGTTGACTCTGGCCAGCCCATATAAGGTTAATTGGAAATTACAAAATAAACATATTTTTTAATTTCACTTCATGCATGGACTAAAGCTACATTGCTTCCATTTTGAAGTTGTTTTTATTCACATACATAATACGTATATCAAGACGTATGCAAGATTGGATCGTTGTCACACACCCTCAAAAATGTCCGCTCATGCTAAAAGAAGAAAGGTAGATGCCGAATGCAG